CCCGCCAGCCCCCCAGGCCCCACGCCGCGCCGCGGCGCCAGCACAGCCGCCCCCGCCGCCGCCGCCACCGCCGCCGCGCCGCGCCGCGGGCCCGCCTCGGCGGGGCCGCCCCGCGCAGAAGCCTGGGCGCCGCCGCCGCCGCCACCTGGCAATGCGTCGCGGCGAGCAGTGGGCGAGGTGGGGGAAGCGTTGGGCGTCGTCCAGTTGCTGCGCTCCTCCCAGACGTCCTCCTCGCCTTCGTCCGCATCCTCATGCCACATCTGCCGCGGCCGCCGCTGCTGCTGTTGCTGCTGCTGCTCCTCCTCCTCCTGCTGCTGCTCCTCCTCCTCCTGCTGCTGCTGCCGCTGCTGGTGTGGTGCGTGTGGCTGCGTCGCCTCCAACGGCTGCAGCGCGCGCAGCGGTGCGCCAAACAGGGACACGGCCTCCTCCAGCGCCCCCGCCCTCTCGGGCGCCGCCTGCCAAAGCGGCGGGTCCGTGGACGGCTCTGGCAGGATCAGCCGCGTCTGCGGAGCCTGCAATGACGGCGCCCCACGTACGCCCTCCTCAGCAGCACGCTCCTTTGCGAAGCCAGCCCTTGCCGCTGCCACTGCGGCCGCGCCGCTGCCACGGACCAGCTGCCGCCGGCGGGCCCGCGCCGCCGCCGCGGCGCTGCTGAATAGCTCCCGCCGCATCTGCCGCTTCCGTGCGTCCGCCTCGGCGGCCGCACTCTCGAGCTCCTGGCCCCCCGCCCGCACGAGCGCCGCCCCCGCGGCCCGCCGCCGGTCGGCCTCGCGCCAGCGGCGGCGCTGCAGCCTCCTCTCGTGCACGTTCATGCCGCGCAGCGCGGCGCAGCGCGCCAGCAGGCGCCGCGGCAGGCGGAGGGTTACGCCCAGGGCGGAGAGCATGCGGCGGCGCACCTCGGGCAGCTTCTGCTTCGCAAACAGCCTGGACTGGCGCTTGAGCCACCTGCGGCGGTTGCGGGGTGTGTTTTTAGATTGGGAGCGCCGGATGTCAAAAGAGACAAGGGAGGGTAGGACGGAGCCATGCAGCATGCCAGCGCCCATGCACCTGCGAGCTGCAGTAGTCATTATCCGCGCTCAGCTTACCACTCGGTTCACTTCGCTCCCACACCCAAGGCTGGCTAGATTTTCCTTCCTCCCGTTGCTAAGGGATGGCCACGCTGTTTTGCCGCCCGTAAAATACACACCCGGGCTGGCGGATCCCCGCTCTCACTGCCGCCAACACCAGGGGTCCCCCCCCCAAAAACAGACCTCACCTCCCCAGCACCACCCAGTCGTACTCGTCCTTGTCGCCGTACTTCGGGCTGACTAAGGTGTCCCCGTGCACCGCCTTGTACCGCCTCAGGGTGTGGAACATATGGTGCCACTTGGCGTCCTCATCAGTCAACGACCACTGGAACCCCAACAGGTCCAGCCTGGCGGGGTGTGGGGAATTGCCATCGATGGGAGGGGGGTCAGCGGCGGGCTGAAGGGGGTTATGTGGGGGGTCTTTTGTTTGGGGG